CCCCAAAACCCCAAAACCCCAAAACCCCTGTGTGTTGCTCATGATAGATAAATATTATTGGATACATATATAAATGGGGAAGAATCAAAGCAAGTCAGAACTTCCAATGAAAAATAAGGAGACTTCTAAGCAAGACATGCTTCTACGCAAGTAAGATGAATCTCTAATAAAGCACAGAGTGTGAGCTGAGTACAAGGAAGTTGCATCCAAAGCTAAATTGCAAAGAACTGCCTTGGAGATCTATTCAAAAGTTCAAGATAATCATTTCAAAACAAGGATTTCTCAAATTTATAGCTGCATTGTTTCCACAAAGATCCAGCTGCATGCCTCGAACCCTGAGAAATTAACACTCAAAGATATTTACTGCAAACAAAAATATGAGAGCTTGGAAGGCGAACTTGGAGACCTTCTAGAGCAAGCCCATAAAATGATTCTGATGATCGGAGATCAGCAAATAATCCATGTTGACAAGTCAGGTATTCCCGTATTCCTTTCATAGTTTATATATCAAAATATTATTTGAATACATAAATTTGAGATCTCTTTTCCCTACAAATGAAGCTCCAATTTTTCACTTGAATATATGAGCCATTTTAACTTCAAGCACCAATTCATTTTATTATTATCTAAAATTACGAATAAACCATATCACTTTTTAGGCCAAAATATAAATGAAAAAAGTATCATTGCTCGGTTTGAGGATAATCTCCAGCAACAATATAAAGACTTCGACCTCCAAATGTACTTTTCTCTTTTCAAATTTAGGCAGAGAGATATCATACAGATATTCAGAGTTAGAGTTTCTCATCTAGACCTAAATATTCATCAGAATATCCAATGGCTGCGAAAATTAAAGTCTCTACCTCTTTCCAACCTAGAGAATACAATCCTAAACAATATAAGGTCTAGAAACTTTACTTCGCTAAGAAATTTTCTTTGAAATTTATCCTGGAGAAGAGAGCTATCACTATATCTTATATTTAGCAATAGTGCATTATTAAATAAGAGAAAATGTCTCCAAAGCATCCTGAATATCTGCTATAAGGTAACATTTCGCGTTATCATTTGATTTGCAACTATAAATCATTCTTCATTAATGAAGCTCCTTTCTGCCTGCCGGAATACAAAGAGTTTAATATTTCAGAATTGCAAGATCTCTATCCTAAAAGTGCCCGACTTCGGCCATTCTTTGGATGGAAGTACGATTAAAAGATTGGAATTACGCAATTGAAGAATAAATGGGTTGATTAGAACTAGAGAACCTTTGAATGGCTTCTCAAAATTGGTAGAAGGACTCTCGAAGTCACAAGATTTCAGAGAAGCTTTAAAAGTATTTGCTTGAGCCTATTCTTTTAATAATGATGATGAAAAAGAGGTGTCAAAAATATTGAGAGAGCATGGATTTGATCAAACTGAAGTGTTGTGAAAATAAATAGTAAAATTATTTATCCATTTTGAATATTAATATTCAAAATCTTTTTAATCCCTCGGGGTTTTGGGGTTTTGGGGTTTTGGGG